CAAAAAGTAGATTAGTGGTTGCCTAGAGCTGCATAGTAACTACTACTGAGTATCGGGTTTCTTTCTGGGGTGATAAAAATGTTCCAAAATGGGTTGTGGTGATGATTGTACAACTATTTGTACTAAAGACTATCGAATTATATACTTTAAATGGGGGAAGTCTATGGTATGTGAATTATATCCCAATACATATGGAACAGAAAAAAATCATGACATTAGGGAAATCTGAAGACTGACTAGGAACACAGGTTGGGAATGTATGGGTCCACTTAAGCATTTGGGTTTTTTTTTCAGTAAATACATATAGTATCACACAATCTGAGGTTGGTTAAATCTATGGATGTGGAACCTCGGATTTGGAGGGCTGACTGTGGGACTTGAGCATCTGTGGATTTTGGTATCTGCTGCAGGTCCTGGAACCAACCCCTGTGGATCCCGAGGGACGACTGTACTGTTAATTTTTTAAGTGTGATAATAGTAATGAGGTTATTTTAAAAAAGGAATGTTATCTGTTAGAAATACTAAAAGATTTATGGATGTTAAGTAATTTAATAACTACTCTTTTGGGGGTGGGGGTGGGTATAGCTCAGTGGTAGAGCACATGCTAGCATATACAAGGTCCTGGGTTCAATCCCCAGTACCTCCGCTTAAAAAAAAAAGATAAAGTAAATAAATAAAATTTAAAAAAACCAAAAACTAGTCTTTTGCCCCCACCTATCACTTTGAATTATCACCCCACTTTTCTGCCCCACTACCCTGACCGCCAAACTCCTTCCAAGTTATCTATCCTCTCTTTCCACTTCCGTTCCTACCATTCTTTTTTGAACCAGTTCCAATCAGGCTTTCCTCCTCACCACTGCAGAGCTACAGCCAACAGTCAATTACAGCAGTAGTCCCTCTGGGTCCTTGGGTTCTGCAGCTGTAGATTCAACCAACCAGGGATTGAAAATATTTTTTAAAAATTACATAAAGTGCCAGAAGGCAAAACTTGAATTTGCCATGTTCTGGCAATTATTTACGTGGCATTTATGTTGTATTAGGTATTTTAAGTAATACAGACATGATTTAAAGTATATGGGAGGATGTGCTTAGGTTATGTGCAAATACTATGCCATTTTATATAAGGGACTTAACTGCCCTGAGCTTTGGTATCTGAGGGGTCCTGGAACCAACCCTGCTCCAAGGGTCGACTGTTAATGGACTTGGTTGCTCTTCCTTGTTTCCTCTTATTTCAGTGGCTGCTTTCTGTCCTTTCCAAGCTTCATTACCATCTCAATCCCTAAAAGCTAGAGGGCTCAGTCCTTAGGTAAGTTTTTCAAGTTTCTTCCTACACTTAATATCAAAATGCTGCTATCACCCAAATTTACATACCCAGCCTGGACCTTTCTTTTAAATTTCAGATTCACACAGCTAACTTTCTTCTGGATAATTTCTTGTGTTAATTTAATGGGAACTCCAAACGTAACATCTCCAAAATTGACTTTCCTATCTCTTCCCACTTCCAACTAGCTCTGCCCAGTCTTTCCCATTTGAGTAAGTGGCAACTCCATTCTTCAAACATTCAGGCCAAAAATCTTAGGAGTCACCCTTGATCCCCCTTTCTCTCACACCCTACATCAATGGATTCCTCAAATCCCATGTGCCATCCTCTCTGAATATACAACCTTCTAACCCTTCTACTGCCTGCACTCTTCCCAACTCACCATCTGTCTCCCACCTGCAGTATTTCAACAGCCTCCTAAATCGTGCCCTTCCCGTCAAAACAGAAGCTAAAGTGATTCTTTAAAAACAGAAGTCAAATCATCTTTCTTCTCTGCTTAAAACCTCCCAGTGGCTCCTCATCTTTCTCACGTAAGCCCTTTAATGCCGCAATTTGGCATCCTCTCACCTCTGACCTCACTTCCCACTTCCCTCCCCTACTCTGCTTCTGCCACATGGCCCTCCGCTCACTTCTGAGTGCAGCAGGCACCCTCCTGTCTCAGAACAACTTCTGTGCCTGTTGTTCTCTCTACCTCCCGGAGAAAGGACATTTCCTGCTCTCTGCCGCCTTCAGAACTTCGCTCCATTTACTTCTCTTTCTCTTTCCCCAGAGCTCCCTATTCCCCTCCCAGCTTCATTTCCCCCATAATACAAACGTAGTATATACTTTATTATTTTGTTCTCCATCTCCTCTAAGAACAGGGATTTTTTTCCTGCTTTGTTCAGTGGTTGGCACAGTTAGTACACAGTGTCTCTGAGTGAATGATTGCTGTTTATCATGCAGTTCTGTTCTCTGCCTTATTGTTGAGCTGGCACCAGCCTCGTGGGCGTCTGGGTGTGGATCCCTGAAGAAGATGACCTGTTGAATAAAGGCTGTCTGCTCACTCAGACTACCAGACGGGAGCCCAAGCACAGAGCAGGCGTTCTGGACGTTCCAGTTTTAGTTGCAGCCACGTGACATCGGCTAAATCATTTTTCCTTTCTGGGCCTTGATTTCTTCGTCTGCCAAAAGATCATTGCTTTAAATGGTTCCCCAGGATTTTGGAGAATCCAATATGAAAGACGAAGGGTTGAGTAGGGCATGATGTGTCATTAATTTCTCTATTATATACAAAGATATGCTTACCTTGCATTTTATACTTTTTAAGGGCCATGAACAGATCTGGAATCAAACTCCAGTGTCCTTTTAGGGACCTTGGAAGATGCAGTTTTGCTGTGTTAAGCCCTTATGTGTATCAGTAATTTGAGAATGAAAGTCCTTGGTGTCAGCCTGTTCTCTCTCATGTGAAGCCTCTCTCACACAGGTAAATTGTTTTTTCAACATCCTTGTCCAAACCAGTGAATGGTCAGTGCCCGTGGCTGATAAGCTCCTGATCACTTGTGGTTGGTGAGCTTCCCCTCAGCTCAATGGTAACCCAGACTCTTGGTTTTCTCACCTGTAATATGTGGTTAATAACAACTGGCTGTTTCTGATGGATTCAGTGACATGTCAGTAATTTACATTAGTTGCATGTCTTAAAGCCTCCACAAATGCCTCTTATAAATGGAGTATGTATCGAGTTTCCATTGCCAGGGTCACTTTCTAAAATAACTCTTCCACCTTGTTACTACCCTCATGGAGGTCCAGAAACTGTGGATTTACCTACTTGGTTTCAAAATATCCCCCATCCTATTAAAGGCAGAGTCTCAAGACAGGTATCTGTACACGTATGTTTATAGCAGCATTATTCACAGTAGCCAAAGGTGTAAGTAACCTAAAGGTCCACTGTGTGTGTGTATACCACATAATATACCTACATAATATACATACAGTGATATTATTTAGCTTTAAAAAGTTTTACTTTTTTTCTTTTCAGTGGAGGTACTGGAGACTGAACCCAGGACCTCATACATGCCAGGCACGCACTCTACCGCTGAGCTACACCCTCCTCCAATTTAGCCTTAAAAAGGAAGGAAAGCCTAACATATCCTTCAACATGCAAGAACCTTGAAGACATTATGCTCAGTGAAATAAGCCAGTGAGAAAAGGACAAATACTCTGATTCCAATCATAGGAAGAACCTGAACAAATTCAGAGTAGCATGGTGGGTGCCAGGGGCTGGGGGAGAGGGAACCAGAAGTTGTTTCATGGGTAGAATTTGTTTCCCAAGATGAGTAGGGTTCTGAGGATAGTTGCACAGCGCCGTGAATGTTCTTAACTGTACAGTGAAAAATGGTTACGATGGTTTATTTTACGTTATATGTATTTCACCACATCTGAAAATAAAAAATTCCCCATCCTCTTTATGAACCGCACTTCCCACTCGTCCCGTTTGTTTTCTCTTCTTGCATTTCGCTCAGCCGGCTCCGTCCATTGTACTCCCAGTACAACGTCCACGCCCTCCCGAGCCCCTGCCTCACGGTGTGTCTCCGGAATGTTGTTTCATCATCACCCATCCATTTTCAAAAGGCGCTTTGCTCTCGCCCCAAAGACGTCACCTTTTCTAGATCCCAGCAGGGGCCCCACCCCCATGTCACCTCTACTCCTCACACCAAGTCCCTCCCTTTTCTGCCTCAGACGGAGGCGCCCACGCACGGCCCCCAACCATCACCGCAGCCTGCCGGCGGGCCTGGCCCAAGCCTCGCTTCTCCCGCCCCCTCCCCACTCACACACCCTAGCCACGAGGGGCTCGGCACCCAGAGCCCCCACCCAGTTCAGCGCCCCGGGTGTCGAGACGGAGGGAAGCCAACTCACACTATCAGTGCTTTCCGCGAAGCAGTCTTTAATCTCACAGAAACTTTCAGCGTCACATTCCACGCGAGCGCAGGGACCGGACGCGGCAAGACGGCGGGTCCCTTGGGACCCTTGACAGGAGCCCTGCGACCAGTGCTGTTAACCCTCGGGGCTCCCCCACACGTACTCCAAGGGGAAGCGGGAGGGTTCCGAAGCCGCGGGATCCGAGGAGGCGCACGAGTAGAAAAGGTGTTCTGGCTGCGTCTCGAGGTCCCCGGGCCGACACGGCGCCAGCAGGGTTCAAGAACGGCCAAGAGACACCACAGAGCTGCGCTTCCGGCTCCAGCGAACGCGCCGGCTAGGGACTGGGAGCGAGCGGCCGGAAGCCAAGGTACGGGAAGCCGAAGGGCACAATCCGCGAACCACGGCCGCGCGGGCCTACGGGGCGTGCGATAACCCGGAAATGAGGCCGCTCCTTCAGGTGCGAGACCCCCACCCTGCCGGAGGGCGTCCCCGCCGGACGGCATTCACCCGGGCTTTTCTGGTCCTCCTCAGCTCTACACGCCCTGCCTTTTCCCGCCCTGCTCACCGAGCCATTCCCCTTTCCTTAAAGAACCTTTGCCCTACGGGTCCGCTTCAGGGCCAACTGACGTCCTCCCCGGAGCCAAAGCCCCTGGGGCAGCGGCTCCCGGCGCCCGCGCAGCCAGGCCGGCGCCTGCGCGGGGCGTTACCATAGAGAAGCAGCCGCCTCTCTGGTCTCGGTTTACACTCTCTATGGTCCGGCCGGGTTGCTGGCGGTAAGGGGAAAAAGGGGGACCGCACTGCGCAGGCGCTCTGGGCGTCTTCTTTTTAATCCCCGCACCGAGCGCTTAACCTCATTGGGGTGGAGGAGAAGGCGGTGGCCGCCCGCTCTGCAGTGGCCCGGCAGCCTGTACTCTGGCTGTAAGTGCCCGGCTAGGGCGAGCGTGGTTAGACCCCTGTCCCGAAGCTCCTACCCCTCCCTGGGGTGAGGGCGACGAGTCTGGATGGGCGCGAGGCCCGGCGCTGTCAGGGGCTCCTGGGTGCGCTCGTGGGGGGAGGGGTTGGCCCTGAGGAGGGAGCCGGCCGAGGAGCGGGGGCGGAGGTTGTCTGCGGCGGCTGG